CCAGTGAGCCGAAATCTCTGAGCCATTCACTATGTTTCAGGAACCAGGGCAAATCCACCTGCTAAGTCTGACATAATGGGAGAGGAACCACAAGTAACACTGGAAAAATATGAATGATAATAGTATGATAGGAAAGGAATGCAGATTGAAAATAACTATTCAGTTTCTACCCAGTCTGTTCCTTGGTCACAATTGTTCATCTTCCTTCTCCGTGTAGGAGATATTCCCCAACATCCCAAGCACCTACAACGTCTCACCCTGTTACGATATTGGCCCCAAAGTGTGAGAGAGTCTCATAATCCGTGTCAATTTTATTTGGAATTACTCTTGATAGGGCTGCTTCTGAACTGAAAATACATTATCTACCTCCTGTCACTTATTATATAATTTTAGAAAAAGGATAGGATATGCAAGCAGGTGAACCCCACAAGGAGAAAACTGGGGACATCGTAACTATGGAAGCCGCAAATCTGTAGTAGTTTTACAATTCGGCTGGGCAGATTTTGCCAGGATCCCCTACAAAGGGCTTGGCTTATACTTAGGTCAGGCCCTGGCTCTTCACATGGGGGTTGATCACCAGTTGACTGTTGCACATGAATCTTTGCTGTTGTCTTGGTACTTAATTTTTAATCTTTTCATAATCTAATCCAAGGGTGTGGTAACAGCTTGATTTGATTGTATCTTTACTCTTATGACAATGTTATAGTGACCACATCTTTACTCTGAGAGAAATGTTTTAATATTTCAGACTGAACAATTATCAGAGTTTCTGAAGTTCCTTCAGATTCTCTGTTATAAATCAGTCAATTTTGGCCAGGCGGAGGGTCGTGTAATCTCTTTCTCATAGTAAGCTTAGCAAATGCAGACAGTAGCTCCCAGTTTATACTGTGAACGTTGTGCCTCAGAACTTCTCAGTCAGTGCCCTAAGGAAGGTTAGTACAGTTCTGGGACTTCCTTGTTATTGTAGTACATGGTTTTATAAAGTGATCGGCTATTATATATTTGCAGTTTACTGTAACAGCTTCTTGCACTTTTCTTTTTTGCTATCACATGATCCCAAAACAATGACATGTGCTGTAATGCTTTTTATCCTCAATTTCTGTTAAGTTACTATATTAAGTAGCAGTTACCACAAACTCTAAAATGAGAGTTTTAGAATATACTTGCTTTTGTTTAAATGGTCCCATGACTTCAGGTCAGGAGGGATTTGGTTCTAGGTCCTTGACTAAGTTCAATTTTGTTCTAAATGTAAGCTCATTGTCTAAGAGTTTTGTAGGTTATGTTTTTCTAATAGAGAAGGAAACAAATGCCAAGGCCTATGCAAGATACATAGCATAAAGTCTGTTATCATCACATCTTCTGCCAGCATTTCATTAACCAGTGTGAGCTGCACTGTTAAGCTTTATGCCATGAGGAAGGGAATTGGTAACCTTAGTTACATGTCACATGACATATGTATTTTGTCAGGGAGACAATCAAAAATTAAGAACAGTTCAACATCCACTAGCATAATCTCTGTGAAAAAAAAAAGAGAAATAAAACACACTGAACTGAGGTTAGGAAAGCTCTTAAAAATAGTTGTTTTGAGATGACGCTTTAGCTGAGGCCAAATGCATTCTGGGTGGAGAGAATTTGCAGTGTATTTGCAGGTACAAAGATAAGCTCAGGGTGATGGAGGAACTAAAACAAGGTCATGCAAGGAAATCAGCGCCATAGGTAGGGGGCAAATGATTCAGACCTGTCATCATCAGTGTTCCTGGAGATACCATAAATCTGGATATTTCAGAGGCTAATTTATCAAATACAAAAATGAAGACTTTTGCTAAGTCCTACTGGAGTAATAACCCATAAATATGATAGCAGCACATCGTGCTATATAAACAATTCTGAATACTTCACCCTTCCACTGGTTCTGGTTTTGTACTGGGCTATACAGTGGAAGCACCTGGAAATACTAAAAATTCTTGACTGAAAAATTGACTAAGAATCGACTAAAAATTCTTGACAGAAGCTGAAATACTGAAGAGAGGAAAATGGTGGCCTCTGAAACTATTTGGCTTCTTAAAAATGCAGGGTATTTCTTTCCCCCTGGGCTTCCGAGAGCTAAATGAGAATATAAAGGATTTGGAGCCCTATTTCCCTCTCTTGGTCTCACTCTTGGGAGAATCTTCTTATTCTTAGCTCCCCAGGGGGGTTTTAGATATAAAACAGTAACAGCTCTGATTGTTGGCAGTATCTTTTTTTCAGAGGAAGTCCTTGTATTGCTTCTTTGAACGGGGAGCAACCCTGGGCTTGAAAAACAGAGATGAAGTCCATGAACTTCTGAAGTTCATGATGAATGGGGGGATGCACGGTAAATTTAAATGGAGGGACATTCGTGGCCATGGTGTGGTCACATACAAACACTGACAACTACCTCAGTATTTTACCAAATCAGAAATACACAGATGCTAAACACTGAAGTACCTTAAATCCTGAAGTCTATAGCGCTTCCTGGAAATGATCTTTGATTTTTTTTTTTTGGTCCCATGTCAAAAATTTTAGATTACATAGGCATTTAATTAGGCAGTTTTCTTTTATTCTTATGTTGCTATAGATTTAAGGAAAAAGAGGACTTTTCTATCTCTAAGGACATGAAAAATGCAAATTAAAACTAGTAAGAGGCAGAAGCTGCTGCACGCCCCTGGTCGCCGTGACGCCCTCTACAGGTGTGCCCTCGACTTCTATTAAGAATCACCAGCTAAACAGGTGAAAAACATAGCTGCAGATTTACACTGCAGCATCTTCTAGAAAGAAAAAAGCCCTATCTGGGAGAATTGGAAAATGCTGGCGGTGGTGGTCAGACACAATTGTGCAGTTCTTCAGAAAAGAATAAATGCAATGATGTTTATGTCACATACATTTGTTTGTTAGAGGACTTAAAAGTGCTAGGCAGAGATGAGTTAAGTACCACCACCTGTCCCATAGGCTGTGCCGCCCCCTTTCACGTGGGACTCCGAGGTCATCTGCCGTGGGACTGCTCATTCTCTCTTCAATTCCTATGCCACAACACAGGACAGGAATCCTGCTGGTAGGAGGACTTGGTTGCTGGCTCCTGAACACCCTTGTTGGACTCCAGCAGTCAGCACCGCCCAGAGAAGAGAGCATGCCGCTCTGCTTTAAGAAAGCCTGCCGCGGATGAGAGTAGCAGATTAAAAACCTATAGGATGGTTCAATCAAAGACACTGCCTCCTTCCCATCCTCTGCTGCTATTGTACGTCGGAACACACGCTGCTAGGAGACAAAGAGGACGTGCGTTTATTTTCAGGCGTAGGACTTTGGAACCACTTGGGAAGAATATTCTTGATTGAGAACCAAAACATTCCATGATGCTTAACAAACCTGCAAATTGAAAAATCAGCATCGAACGGTGCAGCCAGGAGGCAGGAGAAAGACCTAGACCTAGCACACACAAAAATATTAAAGAAATAAACAAATAAATGAATCAAAATATCCCTTCAACAATTTTTGTATGCATTTGCAAAATTACTGACTTCTAAATCAATGTTTCAAGCTGTTTCCATCTGAGAACATATGTTGTGCAGTGAGACGCTGTTTCAGCCTGCCGTTGTCCAGGACATAGCCTGGTGCCTTGTATAATGGACAGTCCCTTGGAAAAGGAGCTGCAGCCCTGTCAGTGTCCCTGTAATAATACTTTAAAATAAATGATATGCATCATTAAATCACTGAGGATGACTAACTCAATTTGAGAAAACCCACAACTCCGGCGATCATAGTTACAGCTCTGATTTGAATATTTTCACTTTCACCTGAGCAGCCAGTGAGAGCCCGTGCAGCAGCCTGGGCGTGCAGGCAGAGGAACGTGTGTGTCCCAGGAGCAGGCGGGAACCTGTGATTATGGAGTTTCAGCAACGGTGCTTGCATGTCTCCTGTCCACCTGGGCTTTTTAGGCTATGCAGGCTTTTTCTTCCTCCCTTCTTGCCTTCTTATTTACATATCACACACATCCTCTTTGTAAAGTTATTTTAAATAATTTATTAGATTGATCTTTTAAAAATTGTACCTTGGCTAAATGTCATCAGGGAAAAAAAAGTCTTTCTCAACTTATTTAAGGGTTTCTACTGCAGTAGAACAGTTACCTGCTTCACTGCTGATATTCTAAAAATACCTCCATGTCCATACTATTATCCATTCTTCACGTCCAATTGCTCTGTTATGGTAATAGTCAGAAGCACACCATGCAGTAATTACTTACAGCTGACTGAAGAAAAGAATATTCAACTCCCCCACTGTTCCACTAGAAGGTCTTTATGCACTATTAACTCATTCCTGTTTATTAATACTCTACTGGTAATTCAGACTGCTGCCTCTCAGGTTTGTAATAGGAGGACTATTAAACAGCAATTACTGACCATATGGGTTGGTGAATATTTGTTGTTTTTGGTGTGCTTCCCCCCTCCTTCCAACTTGTTTTTTTAAGAAGCTATATTACAATCTGGTAGAAGTATCATCTCACATGCATGCAACTCGCAAACATGGCTGTATTTCTCTCTTAGAGAAAGTGCATTTTTCATTGCTAGCTAAGGAAAGAGAGATTATGGGGCAAACAAGAAATGTGCTAGATTCTTCTGTGAGAAGCCCTCCTCCTTGTGAAGATATCTTGGATTTTACCAAGTCATTGGGTGGCCTGTTTTCTCTTGTGGATGTCTGAGAGGGCACAGTCTCAACTTTTATCGCCACCAGTATCAGAAAAGCAAACACGTGCGTTGAAGAATCTAATACCACTCTCCCATTCAAGTTCCTCCAAGCATTTTAAGTGGCTGCTTTAAAATTTAAGATTTAGCAATTCCATCTCCCAAAGAGCAGGTATGTGAACCAGGGGAGATGAGGAGGAACTCCCCCTGAGAGAGGGATGGCGTGAGTAATGGGTTCAAGTGAGGCAAGCAGGTGGTAAATGATGATTACGGTAATAATAATGTGTGCCTCTCTCGCAGGTAGTGAGCACTAAGTGTGCTGCAAGCATTACACACATTCAAATGGAGCTGTCTTTGAGATATATAGGAGTCTACAAGCTCATTTCTTCTGGAAAATGATGGATCGAGGGCCAGAACAGGTAAGTTCTTTGACCGCCATCCTCCATCAAGGCTGTGGTAAGGACTGGGGGTCTGGGATCTTTGTAATATCAAAGTATGCTTCAGAGGAGGAAGCACATTCTGTTTTCCTTAGAACCTTTGAGCTTTCTCCTTCTTTCCCTTAAGAGGTCATTTGCGGTTAAATCTTTCTAGTCCTGCAATGAACAGGTCAACACTTCCCCCAGCCCCATACACTTCAAAACTCCAGCTTGCACTGATCTTGCCCTTTGCAAACTGCCAAACAGAGTTAGTGTGTATGCCATGCCTTCAGCAGGCAGCTTTAGCTAATTTAGCACTCTTCTTTAATACCTGAGGGTGTTGTGGGAAGAAGTTGTTGTTGTTGTTGTTGTTGTTGTTTTCCCTCCCAGATACTCTCTAAATTCTTAATGACAGGGACCATATCTTTTAAACTTTTCTTCTGACTCTCCCCACCCCCAGCTCAGTAGTGGATAATCAGTGCTAAGTAGAAACTGGAAGAATTCTATAAAAACACGCTGGAGGAAAAAGGAATGGTAGTTTCTAAGCATTCTCACTCCTTAGAGTTGTAGAAACTGCAGTTTCTAGGTGAAAGCAGAGGAAAACGACAACCACAAAACCCAAACAATCATAAGCTCAAATCAAAAAACTGTTCTGTGTCCCAAAGACTAGCAGTGCCAATGCAAAGGATAGGTGACATTTGGTGTTTAATGCCTATCTGTTGAATGGAATGTAAATGTGTTGAGTCAGAACCTCTGAAAATCCTGGAACTTTCTCACTGTGGGTCAAAGATTTTATTTTCATCCATCCCCTTTAGACTGAATCTAGAATTCTAGGTTGCTGACAATTTGGTGTACACTTAAAGGGGGAAGGGACTTCGTTAAAAATCTCTGTGGGTAATACAGGTTGAACCCAATGACACAGGGTGACCCAAGAAGGACTTGAACTACCTCATGTGACTAGAGGGCCAAGCTTGCCCTCAAATTAAGGATTAAGGGAGCTGACAGGCACCGAAAGATTAGCTACTCCAGTGAATGTCAAACATCATTGATGTTATTATTATTAGTTTTTGTTTTTTACATGGGAATTTTTTTCTCCAGTTACTCCTTGAGCAGAATCCTGGTACATAGAGCAGATAGAACAGCTCCGACTATAGTTGAGTAGTTAAGCATGGATGGCTCACCTACCAATTCACCCAATAAAACTGAGAGGCACCCCTGGGAGAGCCTGTCTCTTCAGGAATTTTTTCTAATAATTTTGATACAAACATGTAGACTGAATATATAATCTCAAATCCATACAGCTAACAGCGGAATTGCCCCTGGAATCCTATCTTTGTTTTCACCTCAGCTTTACTGAGATATTATTGACATTTTATTTTAAATGAATTTAAGGTATATAACATGACGTTTTGCTGTATGTGTACATTGTGAAGTGATCACCACAGTCCAGCTCATTAACATATCAACTCAGTTCTTTTTTGTTTATTGTGAGAATCCTTGTGACCTGCTCAGAAAATTACAAGGATACATTATTATCAACTCTAATCACCATGCTGTAATTAGATGTACAAAACTTATTCATCCTATGATTGAAAATTTGTACCCTTTGACCAAAAATCCCATTTTCTGCTGCCCTGGGTAACTAATCTTCTACCCTCTGTTTCTGTGAATTCAATACGTAGGTGTGATATATATTTCACATTTTCTTTATCTGTTCATTTGCCAATGATCAGTTAGGTTCATTCCACATCTGAGCTATTGTGAATAATCAACCTTTGTTCCTTAGTTGAGCTTTTATTTGTGTTGCTATCTGTGCTAATAAATTAAGTCATTGTCACCAGAAGTTTAAAGTCAGATGAGTCAAGGAGAATTGGGTGGTAAATTAGTTTCTCAGGCTGGTATAACAAAATGGCAATTGATAGAAGAGCTTAGACTACAAGCATTTATTTTTTTATGGAGCTGGTAAACACCATGACAAAGTGCAAGATCATGTAGTGTTAGTGAGGCTCCAATTCCTAGTATGTAGAACAGTCTTCTTGTGTCTTCATATGGCCTTTCCTTGTTGATCCACTTGGAGTTAGAGCTGTCTTCTTTACAAGGGTATTCGTCTCATCATGATGGATGTACAGTCATGACATAATCCAACCCTAATTATCTATGAAAGGCTCATTTCATATTAGGGATTAAGATTTAAACATGTGACTTGAGAGGATCGTAATTATTCATTCCATAGTATTCATCCCCACTGCCCCCAAATTCATCAGACAAAAGTCAAAAGTTTCATTTAAGCCTCATCTAAATAAGATAGGTGTTATGCAATTCATCTTAAAGCAAAAATTCCTGTCTACTTGTGAACTTGTTAGACCAAATATGTTGTGTATTCAGAAAATACAGTGGTGAGACTGGTATGAAACAAATATTTCCATTTCAAAATGGAAAAATCTTTACATAATAATTATTGAAATCATTCTTAATTTTGACAGATGCAAACATGTACATATTTATGAAGTAACGTGTGAGTTGTTTTTTGTTTGTTTGTTTGTTTAAGATTTATTCAGGCCCAATGTGGTGGCCTAGCGCCCAAAGCCCTCGCTCCGGTAGGGCTGCCAGTTCTAATCCTGGTGGCCTAGCTTCCCATCCAGGACCCTGCTTGTGCTTAGGAAAGCGGTTGAGGGCGACCCAAGACCCAAGGTCTTGGGACCCTGCAACTGAGTGGAAGACCTGGAAGACGTTCTTGGCTTCTGGCTTCAGATCAGCACAGCTCTGACCATTATAGTCACTCGAGGAGTGAATCATCAGATGGAAAATCTTCCTCTCTGTCTCTTCTCCTCTCTGTGTATCTGATTTTGCAATAAAAAGATTTATTTACAAGTACAGAAATAGAGAGATCTTCTGTCTGCAGGCTCATTCCTCATCTGCTGCAATGTCTGTGATTCAACTGGGCCAAAGCCAAAAACCAGAATCCAAAAGCTTCTCCCAGGTTCTCACATGGTTGCAGGCACCCAAGCACTTGAGCCATCCTCAGTTTATTAGCACTTCCCAGGGTCATTAGCAAGGAGCTGGATCAGAAGCAGGGAGGCAGAAATAAGTATTTGGCACACATATGAGAAGCCAGGGTTGCTGGTGGGAGCTCAACCTGCTATGCCACAAGGCCAGCCCACATGTGATATTATAATGCATGCTTATGTTGTATAATAGCAAATCAGATGAAACCACCTGGCCTAGTGAAATGGAGATAGGGTCACCTTGGAGTCACTTAGTGATTCAGTCTTGCCTTGTATTTAAGAATAGAATATGTTCACAGCGAAATAGTGCTATGATCCATTCCTGCAGAGATTAAGAAGTTCAAAGGTCTTTCTTCATTTCACCGCTGCTCTGTGGGGAAACACAAACATGTGTTCAGTAGTAGAGAGAGTAAACAGAAGCCCTTGAATAAGGAGGGAGAGCTGCTTTAGGGTTTTAAATGCTAAAGCAGTGTGGTGTGTTAGGGGTTATGTAAACTTGGCCACTCTTGCACCTGCATGGACAGAATCCAGCACTGGTTTCAGCCTAACTTTAATGTGCTGTAATTTTCTGGTTCTGGACGACACGTTTATATCTGTTTCAAACCTGCCCTCGTCAAGAGTAACCAAACACTTCCTATGGTTCTGAAAATTAAGCCTTCAACATAATATACAATAGGCTATAATCTCTTATAGCATTTAAAGAACATTGGGGAGAAAATGACCATGTTGCATATTATCTTTTCATTCTCTCACTAGTAGAGGCAGCAGAATGTAATAAAGAACGTGGGCGACGGTCATTAGATATCTGTTGTCTTAGGGGCACATTACTAGACCTCCCTTAACAGCCAAGTCCTTATGTGCAAATTAAGACCCTGTACGTTATCTTTGCTTCTGAAACATGTTTGGCTTTACTGAGTCGTTAGCATAGCCAGTGCTCCCTATATGGTCACTGTGAGTTGAACTGTATTAAGAGAAAACAAATGGTTACAGGCAGTCATACCACGAATAAAATGCTCATACAGGTCATGAATTAAATTTAGGTTATATGACAAAGACACTTATTTCTGATATCGATGAAAACTCAAAATATTTCAGGAAGGTGGTATTAAGCCTTGTAAAATATCATCCAGCTGTGACTTGGAACTGCAGAAATTTCCACATGGGTAAGAACATCTGGGCAATTTGTAGGCTTGGCTTCAGAGATTCACTGATACAACACATAGTTGTTTTTTTATGTTTCATTATTCATAAACATATATGAAGGTGGTACCGTTGATTCATTCAATAACTGATTTACATGATATGTTTCTATGGAAGAAAATTCTGCATGTCAAACAGGTTTCATTGTTGAGAATTATGCCCGTAAAAAGACAAACCTCAATTCTGAAGAGTTAATTATATCACTGGGAAGAAAAGTTGTGTGATTTCCAAAGGTAAATAACTCTATACAATAATGTATAATAAAGATCAATAGAAGAATAAAGCACAGGGGTCGCCTTTCTTGGGTCCTTTGGCCCACACTGGGGGGTTTGGAGGTGTGAGCTTGCAGAATGGCATAGGTGGGGGCATCCGAGGAGCTGGGACTTACGTCCTGGTGAGGAATGACCTCTGAGGGATTTTCATCAATAAGGCTACTGTTCCTGCAGATCTGAGTTTCCGCAGTGGCTTAGACAGAGCAGAGATTTGCATACCCAGATGCACATATAAGATATGGCAGTCCACTGGGGGCCTGGCAAGGACATCAGATACCATAGCAGATGATGGAGGGCAGATGGAGGGAGGATGGTTGAGAGAGTATGTTGTAGGTGATAAATGACTACTGAGGATCTTCCATTGAAAAAGCCACTGTGCTTGAAAATAAGCAAGGGGACTGAGACTGAGCAGTTTGGAGCGGGGAAGAGGAAGACCTTTAAGGCTCAGACCAATGCTCCAGCCCATGCTGGAGACCTGTGTTGGGCTAATGTCAACCACCACTGAATATCACTGGGACTCACTAAA